CAACCCATGGTCCTTTCAATATTCTTATCGCACCACAATTCAGATACAACCATTTCTGTATCGTTGGTTCTTACTTATATGCTACTTCTTGGAATAGTGGAGTGTCAGCCAGTTCTTTTTGGTAGTGACTCTGTAATCTTTCCAACTTTTTGGATGCTTCCTACATCATTCACTATTTTGTCCACAGAAACTTTCAATATTGCAACACAAGGCTTATGGCTTTTCCCTTGAATTCTTTCAGTTGAAGGTATGCTGAGCTTGGTATTCTATTTTGGTTTTCTTATTCTAGTTCTTTGAACATTGTATTATAATATTTACTTTATCTTTTCAAACTGCCCTTTGAAACTTTCTATTCAGCTCTTTTACGTCACTATTTCTTCTATTTGCTTTAACTCCTCTATGATGAAGAGCTAATTTCAGGTTTCCTCTGACATCTACTTTGATATTTTCTTTCTTTCTGTCTTTTCTTTCCTGTCTTTTCAATGACCTTTTTATTTCTCCATTAATGATGTTTTTGATATCACCCCACAGCTCATCCAGTTTTCTCTCATTAGTATTCAGTGAAGCAAATGATTCTCGAGATATTCTCAAAATTCACATGGGTTAGACTCAAGGTTTTATTTTGGCTCTCAAGGACTTGTTTTCATTTTGTTCAGCTTTGACTTGAACTCACACATTAGCAAGCAGTGGTCTGTGGCATAGTCAGCCCCTGGCCTGGTGTTAGCTGCAGATATTGAGCTTCCCCATTGTCTCTTCTCACAGTTGTAGTGAATTTCTTTCTGTGTAACCCATCTGGGTATGTCCATGTGTATAGTCACTGTGTGGTTGGGAAAAATGTACTTGTTATGAACAAGTCATTAATCTTGCAAAGTGCTATCATACGATCTCCAGTCTTATTCCTATCACTGAGATCATATTTTCCAACTACTGTTCCTTTCTCTTGATTTACAGCTTTTGCATTCCAATAACCAGTAATCATCAGTGCATCTTGGTTGCTTGTCTGATAAATTTCAGACTGAAGACATTAGTAAAATTCTTCAATTTCTTCATCACTAACTTTTGTGGTTGGTACATAAATTTGAATAATATGATGGGGTTTCCTTGAATTGGGGTAGATATAACCCTATCACAGACAGAAATGCACATCAAGATAGATCTAAACGTCATTTTGGAGTAAGATTGCAATGTCATTCCCTGTCTTTCCAGCAAAGTAAACCATTATTTTCTGATTCAAATGGCCAATAGCCGTCCATTTTAGCTCACCTAGGATATCAATCTTTATGCATTCCAATTTATTTTTGGTGAATTCCAATATCTGGATTCGTAATTCATGTATTCCAAATTCCAGTTAATAGTAGATTCTGAAGCTGTTTCTTTTCATTTTGAATGATGCCCCACCAGCAAATGCGGGTCCAGAAGGCTTTACTCCCACAAGCTATATTCCATCCATGTCATTATGTTCGACTCCACTTCGAGAAAGTAGCTCTTCCTTAGCCATACTGTAAATTCATACTTATGAATTTAGTTATGAAATCCATAATTATAATATTCTGCTTATATTCATAGGCCTTCAGTATCTGAGAAGTTTTCGGTGCTATACAAGGGTTTTTTCCTAAAGTATATAACCCATTCCTTCTTCGCCATCCATTCTTAGTCTGGGGGCTCTGTTAACACCTGTTCACATTGGCTTACCCTGCTGCTATTTGAACCATTGACACCGCTTTCAGCACAGCAGCAACACACAAGCCACCATAGTATAACCAAATGACAGAAACGTGGTGGGATTAAGGTACACAAATTTGATAGGGTGCATAGGGAAGTTTTACCTCAGTAGTGAGGGGTATTTTGTCCTAGACTGAGTACTGATCTGGTCCCCTTTTTGAAATATTAAAAGAAAAATGTTTCAAGGATCAAACTATTTCCAAATAATTTAAATGCAAATCCATACAAAGATCCTAAAAGATCTGGTGGACACAGAAGTTGGCAGTTCATCCCACCCAGCAACTCCACAAAAGAAATATTTGATAAGATTACAGCTGAGAAAATCTTGTGGCACAGTTCTACTCGGTTTAAATGGCTTGCTATCAGTCAGAACTGACCTGATATAAAATAATAATACTTATTTCCAGCACCAACAAAAACAAGATAAAATTGAGTATGTCAGATATCCATAAAATATTTACTAGGCACGCAAAAAAATAAAATTAAAACATCCTTCATGATGAGAGGGAAAATAAACTGAAATCCAGGGTTGGTATGGTTGCTAGAATTAATAGTCAAGGACATTAAAATAACTATTAAAATTGCAATTCACTTCAGGATGTCTTTTACAATGGATTCTTAGTCATGAAAAAAAAGTCTTAGCTGAAAAATATAATTAAATAATTTGGTTTTCAACAAAATTAATACATTTTGGTGCATCAAAGAAATCTACCAAGAAAATGAGACAATCTACAAATGGGAAGAATAGTTGAGAACCACAGCCCAATTATGCATTTACTATCCAGAATACTAAAATAACCCTATAACTCAAAAACATAAAAAAGCAATTAAAGACAGAAACATTACTAAAGGATTTTAATTTAAATCTCTCCAAAAATATGCAAATAGCAAGGAAGTATGTGAAAAAACAGTCACAGTGAGACACAAGAGAAATGCAAATCAAGACCAGTGTGAAACCACCTATGGCCAATAGGATGGCTCTGACCAGAGAAATGGAAAATAACACATGTTGGGAAGAGGTGGAGAAATTTGTCCCCTTCTGTGCTACTGGCAGGCACTCTGGTGGTGTCCTGGTTATGAAGTGAAAGTTTGAAACAACCTGGCAGAAGTCGGTGCTTTCTATTCCCATAGACAGCTTTTGTCTCAGAAACTCACAGGGGCGGTTCGACCCTGTCTTGTAGGGTCACTCTGAGTCAGCATTGACTCAGTGGTAAAGAGTTTGGCCTTTTGGTTTGGCATTACTGCTAGAAAGATAAAAGGGTTATCTAGAAAACAGCTTGGCAATTAGTCACAAAGCTAAATATAGAACACAACATGTCCCAGTATTTCCATCCTGGTTAAGTATCCCAAAGACTAGAAAGCAGAGACTCTAACAGGTAACCTGAACACGACCATTTATTCCAGCATCATTCACTATAGCCAACATGTTGCAACAACCTGAGCATTCATCAGCAAATTCATGGAGAAACAAAATGTGATACTTACATACATGATGGCCTATTATCTAACCATTACTAGAAATGAAATTCTGATACCTGCTACAGCAAGGGTGATCCTTGCAAACATTCTGCTGAGTAAAGTAAGTTTGATACCATAGAGTAAATACTGAAGAATCCTGTTTATATAAAACAGTTAGATTAGGCAAGTGCATACAGACAAAAGTTAATGAATGATTATCAGGGAAAGTGTTGGAAGGGAAAATAAAGATTTATTTATGATGGAGTACTGTTTTTTCTATTTAAGTTGATGAAATTCCTTTGGAAATGAATAGGGGTTGGAGTCGTACAACAAGAAGTATGCATTTAATTAATTGAATTATACATATACAATTTTTAAAAAATTATATTCTCCACTTGTACTAAAATATAGGAATCTAAGATAAAAAAAAGGTTCAAATTGAACTTTACAGATAAAACTTGCAATGTGTTAGATGAGAAACACATTGTATGGGATTAATTGATTAGTTATGAAAGAAAAGCTAGAAATGATCCAAAATAGAAATCATAGAGAAATGAGAATTAAAACACAGAAACAAACAAACAAAAATTAACCACACAGAGAATCAAAAAGCCCAATTACATGAGTCCCCTCAGAGCCAAAGAAAACAAGCTCACTGACATCAAGTAGACCCATGAATTTCTCCTTCAGTAAAGAGTTACAGCCTCAGAAACTCACAGGGGCAGTTTTACTCCTATAGAGTTGCTTTGAGATGGAGTTCCCAAAGAAAATGGAAAAGAGAGAAAGGGAAAATTTTGGGGCTTTGTTAGGAAAAGCTTTCTTAAATATGCGAAGATCGTCAGCATGATCTCAAAAAGCACAACTGATACATTGAACCTTATCAAAATCTCTTAAAAACCTGCTTTTCAAAAGACACTCTGAAGAGTATGGAAAGACAAGTTGGAGTCTGGGAGAAGATCTTAGCAACGCATAGGATCGTGTATCTGACCTTGGATCTCTGACAAAGCACTCCTGTCTAGAAGACATAAGAATAACTGAAAATCAAAGTAAGAAAATAAGCAACACACTTTAAAAATCAGAACCAAGGCCCAGTTTTGCTTCTCACCAAGTATTTGTGTAAGGATGAAAGAATCTCTCTGAGCTTTCTCTTCCTATCTAAAATTGGCCCCAAGGATCTCTGACTTCACCACTTTAGGAATTGCTGAGGTTCAGATAGAGAATACTCCTATGTAAAAGAGTTTTATACAACCGCAAAACCACCCAGGCACGTAAACTTGCTGTGCATAGTTTGCCTGCAGGAGAAAGCAAGGGAGAACTAGAATCAAGCATAGTCCATCATGAGTAAGGAGGCCTGGGCGCAAACTCCACTAACTGTCCCACGGCAGCGGTGTGACTTTAATTTAAAGCAAACATCTACCTGATTTCAATCGCTTACCTGCAGTGTAAAAAAAACAATCAAAATTTCAGAGTTGAAGTTTTAAGACTCAGTACTTCTGGGAGAATAGCAGAGATTATGCCAAACACTTTTAAAAAAAATAATAATTGTGTTTTTCATTTCATGGCAGTAAGTGCTTAAAATCAGACTGGGCAGCTGTTCCCAGTGCCATGTGTTCGTGTTTAGACATTTTTAATCACAGAGTATGGAGCTTATTCAAGGCAGAAAACAATGTAAAGAGCTTCATTAAATGATAACTGTGTGTCAAAGTAGTTTTGATCAAATTCCATTTTCTTTCATTCAAGAATAACGTGACAATTCTTGTTCTTTAGGCATTTCGATGTATTTCAAATACAGATTAGGAAATGAAGCTCATTCACCATACCTGAAAAGGCTGCATGCTGGAAAGGTGGAGGTGTCTCCTGATCCATCTGTTGTCTTGATTCCCAAATATCTCCCACAGCAGCTGTCCCCTGGTGTTGCTCCAGATTCGCTGGTAGATGGCCAATCTGTAAATGTGCTTCCCAAACATGTGGTAATAGAAGCGGAAGGTGCAGCGCTTTGCATCCGCGGCGTTCAGAACTGGGCTAAGGAGAGCAGCTCTGTTTTGGAACACTTGGGGCTCTGAAGACTCGATGTACAGATAATGTCCTTTCGCTGTGCCGATCGTGTGGTCCTTCATTGGCCCTGTATTCAGGGTGGAAGTGGGACCTTGGTTCCTGGTCCAGTCAAAATCATCTTCTGTATCTTGTTCCCAATTACAAATTCCATTTTCAAAGTTACATTGTAGCTCAGTGGCTGAAAAAAGCACCACAAAACATTAGCATAGTTGGCATTAATAAATACACATGATAAAATCACCTGGTTGATACTTTCCTCATGCCAAAGAATGCCAGTTTGATTCTTTTACAGGCTGCACTAAATATTTTTGAAGAGTGAATACAGTAACTATTTAACATGTTAAAAAGCAAGGATGTTACTTTGTGGACTGAGGTGCATCTGATCCAAGCCATGGTATTTTCGATCACCTCGTGCATGTGAACGTTGGACATTCAAATAGGAAGACTGAAAAAAGATCAGTGCATTAAATTATGAGGATGGCAAAGACTACTGTACTAGCCATTAGTTTCTCAATGCCTTTTATGTCCATCTTCATACATTTCTATCTCTCTATATGCATTACTCAACTTAGCTCCTTACATCCAGCAACTTCGTTGCCCAGTGGATTTTTCAACCCTAGCTAAATGTTAGAAACCACCAAGGAGTATTTAAAAAACACCAGAGCCAAGAATTCTCCTCCAGAGGTGTTGATTTAATTGATCTAGGGAGTGGTGAGGCCATGCATCAGAATTTTATATATGCTCCCTAGGATATGTGGGGTTGAAAACATTCATACCTTTCTATGCCTCCATCTTCCAGAACCACCTGATGGATGGTAAAATCCCATGCCAAATAATTCCAGGTTAAACTTCCATGAAAAATACCAACCTTTTAAAACTCTGGAGTGAAGTCTAGGAATCTACTTTTTCCCCTTCAACTTTTTGTTGTGAATTGAGCTAACAGTTTGCCGAGCAAACCAATTTTCCATTCCACAGTGCATGCACATTTCTTTCATGTCACTGACTGCAACCCTCCTTTTATTATTCTATCTGCTCCGTGTCTCCAGAATCCACCTTTTTAATCAGGACCCCAAATGATTCAGAGGCAGGCATTTTGTAGGCCTTACTCTGAAAAGCTTTTCTGTTTGCTTCTATTCTGCCCTGTGCTCCTCATAGTCACACAACCATCTTCTTCAAGTCACTGGCCCCTAACGCTCCCTTCCAATGGAGGCCTGGTGATGCAATGCTTAAGCGGACAGCTGTTAACTAAACGGTTGGCAGTTCAAACCCACAGGGCAGCTTCGAGGGAGAAAGATCTGATTTCTTTCTTTTTTGTTGTTGTTGTACAGAGAAAGCTTTATAACAAAAATGGCTCACACAGTTTGAGAAATCGCTAAGCCCCATCCAGTTCAAGCCAGGCTTCTCCTGACTCGGGGAAGTTGGTGAACAGAAAGAAGGCTGGTAGATGCAGAGGTCCGAAGTAGACTGAATAAATCCGTTGTCTGGAGCCTGCTGAGGGAGCCTAAGATCGGCAGGTGACTTAATAGATCAAGGAACCAGATGTGAGATCCAGCTCCAGCAGAGGACCAAAGAGAATTCACCCTGATTGTTCTCGTATACCAAAAGGCTCTTGATACCAACAGGATGTCATCAGGCTAAGACATAATTCACAGCTTGAGCTCCGCCCATACCCTTACCTGAGTGTCTAGTTGGCATCATCCTTAGCCAGCATAGATCACCCCTTGTCAACATGACATCTGTGCATTACTCATTAACCATCACAATCACCAAAGACAATCAATTAAATCAGAGGTGCTCCTAATGTGCTACAACTAACATGCATACAACCGCATGAATGCACTAACCCCATTTTCATCTGACTGCCTCCCTTTGGAATGAGGGTCTCCAGACCTGAAGAGAAGGTGGCAGGGACAGGAAACCAATCTGCTTGGATTCAGTGTCGGTCTCTGCTGCTGGCAGATTGGGCACTCAGCAGTAGCAATAGTCAAGGCAGCCTTGGTGAGTTGCCACCAAGTCCACGTTGCCGAGCCCACGTATAACCACAACCTGCCACTGTGTCCACTTTGCTCAGGCCCCTACCGGGCAAGGACAGGAATGGCTGTGCAAAGAGGACTAGTTTCCATGAAACGCATCATCCCATCCACGTGACTGTCAAAATTCTCCTCTGTAGAGGTGATCCTTTGGGCACATAGTCTTCACTTTCTTTGGCCCATTCAAAAAGATCTATCCACATGCTTCTTCCCCACACTTCCTCGTCACCAAATTTCCTTCCAAGTCCCTGACCATCCAGTGAAACCAGCCCACGAATCGCTAGAGTCACACATATGGCCAGTTTGCCTTCCAGGGAAATCCAACTCGGTGCACTGCTAGAAGTTCTGCCCATTGGGAGCATCTGCCTTCGCCGTGGTTCCTCAGGTAGGCCCAGAAAAGGACTGCAGTGCTGCTGCACTGAGAGGAAATACTGCTGTGGGCCAAGTCGGATGAGCCGCAGGGTCAGACAAATACCCAGTCGTCATGACGGGCACGGTGACTTGGTGGTCCATGTAAGGTGTTCAGTCTCCACTAAGGCCAGACGCTGGTTTTCAAAGGTGGAGGAGTGGTCTGCAGAATGGCAGAGCTTTTGCTCCCAAATCCCCAGTCTGCACTGTGATTCGCCAGGAGGGGCCAGACCTCTCTGCCCCGGGCATCTCAAGCACGTTGGAACAGCTGGATCCTAAGGCCCACATGGCAGAGGGCTTGCACAGCAGCCTCGAGCAGTTTGTTGACTCGTTTGCTATGCAGGCTGGAGGAGCACTCTGCCGAGTCTCTCCCTTATACCACAGGCTTATGGAAGCACGGAGGTGTCATCAGCCTTCAGACATTGATAGGTTGGCTGTGTGACTTCCCTATCCAGGAGGCTAGTTGACCTAAGCCCTAACGATCACAGCCACTTCGCCAACCTGAATACACTCCTGCTTGCCACGGATGGGCCAGCCACTCCCGGCATATCCTGTCTGCCTGGCCCAGAGTGAGGGTGGGCGGGGCTCAGGTGAAAGGATCTAGAGTCTGAGGAGATCTGAAACTGCAGGGACCCTTCCCACCTCTCCCTCTCCCACCATTCTTTTTCCTCTGGACCCAGTTCAGCCGGTGCTTGGTCTGTGGGGAAGGAGTCGGTCTTGGACCACACAACTCGGCCTGCTTTCGGACCAAGGTACCATACTTGCCTCTTGGGCTGCCTCTGGCCACCGGGGCTCTAGCTCCGCCAGAGTGGGTAGGGCCTCCAGCCGTGGGCGCAGATCTCCCACCACTTCGGTGGCCCTCCGTCGCGGCTCCTCTAAGCGCTCCTTCTCGGCCTGCTTGATTTTCTTGTGCAGCCAATTCTCCCGTCTCGGCTTCATTCTTTCCTTCGTGTTCAAAGGTGCCTTCTTCTCTTCATCTCTCTGGTGAGCACTGAGGTTCCGTGTAGTCGCGTCCAGCTGCTGTGCGAAGGCGCTGAGGTTGATGTTGGCACCTGCGAAGAGCTTGGTGCCGAAGGCCGCCCAATCCTTTCCCGCGGCCCTGAGGCGGCGCGCGGGGCCTCGCGCGAGGGCTGCTCCCGGAGCCCCGGCCTGGGCCAGGGGCGGCCTCCTCTGTGAACCTCAGGGCCACCGAGTGCACCCGGGACCGGAGCTGCCTGACTTTCCCCAGGGCCGCGGAGGAGGCCGCCGAGGAAGCACGCTGCGGCGCTCGCGGGAAGAGCGTCCTCCCGCCTCACGTCCCCGCGGGAAACCCGCGACGGCAACGCTCGGGCCCGGAAGTACTGGTCGGAGGGGGCGGGGCCGAGCGCTCGGGCCCCGCCCCGCCCCGCCCCGCCTCGCCTCTCTGGACTTGACGGTCTGAAGTCTATTGCCCCAGGAGCTGCCCTAGGGGGTTGATGCCTTCTCTGTGAATCGCAACCCGCCCCAGGCCACAGACTGAGGAGATCTGATTTCTTTCAAGATTACAGCCAAGAAAACCCTATAGGGAATGTCTACTCTGTCACCACGAGTCATAATCTACTTGGCGGTAGCGACATTCCCAGCAATCCTTCCCCAGAGCATGCAGACATGGCAATCTTCCCTTCCTTCAGTGCATGCGCCATAGTCCCTGTTTGCCCCAAACACTTCACACCTTTTCCTATCTGTCCCTCTATCCAAGTGAATGTCAGTCCCTTTGTCTGTTTGTGATTGTGTCCCTAGGGGGTCTTTTTTTCTTATGGGCTTAAAGTTCCTTTGAGGGTAGCGGCTTTCATAGTCTTGATTCCTTTTACAATTCAGAATTGACTAGGCCCTGTTAATTGAATACCCCATCTCGATTTCTAGATTGACATAGGAGCGCATTCATTTTTCAAGACGTCAGAATTTTGTTGACACTGAGTATTTATATTTTAACAAATGAGATAGAATACACATTTGACATCATTTGGGCAGAGCTGACATGATTTAGAATTAATTGAGAGTTCCACATGCTAGTTTTATTTACCTAAGTTAATATTTAAAAAAATAATGCTCGCTGTCCTTTAATGATTCCTCTGCACTTGGAACTAACGGTGAAAAAAACCCTGAAACACTAAGTACAGTTCTCTGTGCAAGAACAAATCATCTGTCCCGGAAGCCACAGAACAGGAGCTTCCAGCTAACGAAGGAAACCAAGTGAGTAAATGTCAGATGGGAGTTGAGCGCTCATTTAGTATTCCCTCCCTTATGACTGATGGAGCTCAGGTGTGATGTGCGATGGGCACAGACAGCGTACTCTCCAGGTGTCAGTCTTTGGCTATGGAGCACAAGGAGCATGTCAACTTGCT